AAAAAAAAAAAAAAAAAAACAGGTAAATTTTTACTTGACTAGCTATTTGAAAAAGTTTGTATGGAAAATGAAGCCAGAGCCATTTTCCAATCTAGCAGAGTTTTGTTGTTGATTTTAGCTTTAAGTACAAGTCTGCACCTGTCAGACTTTTAACAGCTGATACAGCTTCTCTCTTCCCTTTCCCCACATATACTGCACTTTGCAGATACGGCCTGTTCTGTTCCTGGCTCACTCTCCCTCCTCTCTTCTAGGAACAGGACAAGCTCAGGGAAGCACTTGCTGCCGCCCGTGTTCCTACTCCTAAAACAAGGAATTAGGTCCTCCCCTCAGGGCTGCCCTCGCCTCTGAGAAGTGCCCTCTCTGCTCTTTCTGGTCTTTAACGAGGCATCTGTGTGTCTTCGACACGGCCCTTGCCAAACTCCTGCAGCCTGTGGTAGCCCCCCTCCACCATCACCATTTCTAGCTCTTAGTTTTAATGAAAATGAAGTTTGCATTTTTGCTTTTCATTATTATTATTATTATTATTGCTTTTGGATGGTTTACAAGGATAGTGGAGGAGTGCTAGCTTCGTGATGCCTTCTTCAAATCTGAAATCTGTCTTGTTTTCTGATCAGTGCAGCCGAAGAAATGCATATTCCCCCAAGCGCTGCTTTGCTTTTACCGTGTCTCCTAAATCTTGGCATCCCCATGGTTCCCTTGTCCTTCCCTAGCAGGACTTACAATTCAACTCATTATGCTTTAACTTAAATGGAATTTTTCCTTAAGTTTCTAGATTTGTGGAATTTTCTTTTTTTGTCTGTTATTGATTTCTAATATTTTTACATTCTGGTCAGAGAATTAAATTACTGTAATGTTAATTCCTCTGAGAGGAAAATATTAGTTCTTAAACTACAATTATCAATTTATCTGTTTTTGTCAATTGTTGCTTTATGTGTTTTGAGGTCCATTGTTAGGTGCATATATGTTTAGGTTTTTTGCCTTCTTGATCTTTTCCTCCTTTTACCAGTATGTAACATCCCTTATAACCCCTCATGTTGTATTTCACCAAAAAATCTATTTTGCCTGACATGAAAATTGCTATAGGCCAGGTGCGGTGGCCCACACCTGTAATTGCAGCATTTTGGGAGGCTAAAGTGGGAGGATCACTTGAACCCAGAGGTTCCAGACCAGCCTGGGCAATATAGTGAGACATCATCTGAAGAAAAAAAAAAGGGCCAGGCACAGTGGCTCATGCCTGTAATCCCAGCACTTTGGGAGGCTGAGGCAGGAGGATCACTTGAGCCCAGGAGTTCAAGACCAGCCTGGGCAACATAGCAAGACCTCATCTCTGCAAAATAATAATAATAATAATAATAATAATGAAATGATACTGAAATAGTTAACAATTTAGTAGCATCTAAATTAATGACATGAATGACTGTTGTCAGACATGGTGTTTAGTCACAATGTCACACAGCTGTGTTGAACAGCCACACTCCTCTTGGGCCTGAAACAGGCCTCAAGCCACCCTCCTGCTCATGTCCACAGCCCTCCTTTGCCAAC